TTGTGAATTTTTATCAAAGGGTATGTTCATAATTAAAAATAAACATACTGCATACAGCGAAAAAGACAGTTGCACATGGGAATGGAAGTGGAAAGACAAAATTAACACCATTTGAACACACTAAGAAAAAAATCAGTAATCCTCTCCGTTAACGACAAGAAAATTTGAATAACGACAGGGACGAACTGGAGGAACGTCTCTACTAACAATGGACTGATTATTAACAACGTTAAGATGACATTTCTCGCCATCATCCAAAATTGTCCACTTTAGCTTTAGCAAAAACAGTAACAAACACCACAGAAAGCAACATCAACAATAACAGTATCTCTAAAAGATGTAAAGAATATCGAGAGGAAGAGAAAGAAAACGAAAACTAACATGGAAAAATATAAGAAAGACAACATCACCGCACAATTCTGAGGCAGTACTCTCATAAGAAAAACCGTAATATATTGCTATTGAATGTTCTTTCAAAAAGCAATTTTTTCTCTACTTTATCCTACTGTATGTACCAATTAGTCCAAAAAAACGATTGCTAACACAATAAATTAACATTTTTGAAAAAAACCCAAAAATTTCCTTATATCCTGCAGTTTGTACTTTAAAAAGTGAAAACAATAACATTAACAACAATAAAGGCAACAGCAAAAGGCTCCGGCAAACTAATAAAAGAATGAAAAACGGAAAAGAAGGGATAGTTGCAGTTCTAAAGAAGCTGCAAAAGATTAATCAGTCAAATTGCTTATGCATGGAAATTTCTCTAAGCAGTAACTGGTTTTTCGTTTTTCTCATTTTCGCTTTGTTTTTTTTTCTCTTTCAACAAATTGATAGCGATAATATTTAAGTGTAGTACAAAGATGTTTAACTGAGTCTACTGAATAAGTTGAATGCGGTCATTTTAACAGCATTAATTTTATAAAACTTTTATTTTGCAAACTTCCTCTGCTGCTGTTTCGTTAAAAGAAAAAAAACGAAATGGAAACCCAATGATTAGTGATGCACCAAATGTTCTATGCTTTAGTTTTATTGCTCTATTAATACATTAAAACACAAATAGAGCAAAAAAATGTTTCAGTAATACTGTTCAAACTTGTTAAACATTACAAAACTAAACTTTTTTCAAAACTCTTCTTTGTTGATTGCCATTGATAAAAGAGGAAATTTCCTTCCTTACTTAATCTAATTTCCGTCCCTTTAAGTCTTCCGCCAGCGCATTCTATATTAAGAACACAGTAATCCAATGTTACAATTATCAAAAGCCGAAACGATTGAGGAAGAAAGGTAAAATTCAGTTAATGAGACATAGTTACGTGGTTGACGCAAGAATCTTTTTCGGTTCAGCCAAACAAACCTCCCCTTCCCTCTCCAGATCACTGATATTGTATTTACCGAGGATAGTGTAACCAATATCTACAAACATATATGCCAAATTTAACGCAACCAAAGGTATCAATTATGCAGCCTTAATAAACTTAGTATCTAATTAGAATCTGCTGGTTGCATGTGGCATTAAGACTACGCAAGCATTCCAAAAGTTGTAGAAAATTCATAAACAAAGTTAAGGAGCTGCATGTTTTCCTCCGCCTCAACCTTTGTTCGTGCCGTCTTATACTTCTTCTAGAAACCGCTGTCTATGCAAAAACTCTTGCCACTCCCTCAAGACCAGT